CTGCACAAATCCAGGTTTTCTCACCCCCCCACCCCCATACACACACAAACTCACTCTCCTGCTGGTAATAGCTCATCCAAAGTGACCACTCTCCCTAGTGAGTTTGTGTGTGTGGTTTTTGGAGGGGGGTGAGGGAGTGAGAGAACCTGGATTTCTGTAGGAAATGGCCCACCTTGATTATCATACACATTGTGAAGAGAGTGGTCACTTTGGATGGGCTATTACCAGCAGGAGAGTGAGTTTGTGTGTGTATGGGGGTGGGGGGTGAGAAAACCTGGATTTGTGCAGGAAATGGCCCAACTTGATGATCACTTTAGATAAGCTATTACCAGCAGGAGAGTGGGGTGGGAGGAGGTATTGTTTCATGGTCTCTGTGTATATAATGTCTTCTGCAGTTTCCACGGTATGCATCCGATGAAGTGAGCTGTAGCTCACGAAAGCTCATGCTCAAATAAATTGGTTAGTCTCTAAGGTGCCACAAGTACTCCTCTTCTCGTGCTGGGAGGCTCACTCCGACGTACCCCTAGAGAGCACCCAGTCTCCTCCACTTAGCCCTGCTGCTACCCCCCTACCCTTAACCCACCACCCCTTAAATTACTGGGAGAGTCACAGAGGGCAGCTCTGGTCTCCTGTCATTTGTGCCCACACAGGGCCTCCGTCTTAGAGGGATTTTCTCTCCTGCCGGGGTCTTTAATCGGCAGCCTCCAGAATGCAAACCATCTCGGTGGAGCGAGGGCCAGAGGCGAGTCACAGGAAAGCCAACCCCAGGCTATCAGAAATCCGCAGGCAGAGCCCCGCCCCACCCCACCCCACCCCATCATGAGACTGGCTTGACACCCAGGAGATTTCTCTGGCTTGCTTCTGTGTATGAGTTGTATTTTTATAGAGAGGGCAATTACTGATTGTTAAGCCAAAGTCATAATTATACACTTGTCAGCTATCTTTGCACGTGTGGGTGTCTCTGTATTGGCCATCTGGTTTTTTGGGCCTGGAGGAGCTGCTGGCTTCATGCTTCCCGCTTTTTCTCTGCCCCCCCCAGCCCCTGCCCCAGGGGAGCTGGGATTTGAAAGACAAGAAGCGGCCGGGTGCGAGAGGGAGGAACCCAAACTGCACGAGCAGCAAGCCGAGGGGAGGGAAGAGAACGGAGGCAGAGTGACCACCCCGTCAACCAATGAGACACGAGGAAGCCTCGTGGCGTCATGGGCTCACCCTCATTGAGGACAGAGCGGCGGCAGATTAACCCCTTCGAGGGCGCCGGGCGGGCTCCCGTCCTGCGCAGCTGCTGCAGATAAGGAAGGGGGGGGGGGGCTGGTTGGTTGGTGCAGAGGGTAAAGGGGGCAGGTCGTGGGGGGCTGCCCCCTGGGGGAGCACTGGGTGGGGTAAGTCATGCTCAGCGACGGGGGGGCTGGGGTGGGGCTCCCCTCCAAACGCTGCCTCTGCAGGAAAGAGAAGCGGTGACCCAGGGCGCCCTTCTCCCTCCCCCCCCCCCCGAAGTGACCCTGCCCCATTCCAGGCCCCTGTGTGGGGCGGGGGAAAGGGCAGCTCCTTTCCCCTTGCTGTCTGCTGGGCGCGGGAGCCGAGCGCCAAGCAAACCCCTCGTGGGCAGAGCCGGTCAGCCCCAAGCCCCCTTATCCAGTGTACCCCAGAGCCCCTCCTCCGTCTCCCCCAGGCCTTTACCCCTCCTGCACCCCACACGCTGCCACCCCCAGGCTGTCTCTTGTCATCGCCAGCTACGTTGTGATAGCGCCTGGGAGCCCCAGTCGCAGAACCCGGACCCCCATGGTGCTAGGGGCTGTACAAAACAAAGACAGTTCCTGCCCTTGATCCCATCAGGCATTTGGATCTGCCCCCCGCTCCACAGGGACTGGGCCATAAGTATCTAGATAGCTGCCATCTGAACCGCACCCCACCCCCCGACAGCCTTTATCCCATAGGCCCCCCCCAGCACCTGCCCTTCCCGTGCCACCAACCTTGCCCTCCTTTGCTAACGTAATCCCCGCCCCGATCCCACCTGTGTAACACTGAACCCCCTTTGTCCCTGACCCCAGCCAAGCTCCCTCCACTCCTGAGCTTCCAAGGCACAGCAGAGTGTAGCAGGGGCCCCTCCAAACTTTCCAGATGTGTGAATCTGAGAGGGGCTTTGTTAAAGGCAGGGGGGCTGTAGGGGAGGGCGCTCCCTGGCTCTTTAAGGTGTTGTCCAGGGGCGGGGAAGATGCCTGCTCCAGTGCCGGATCAGAGCTGCCATCTTGCTCTCATCTGGGCTCATCCTTGGCCTTGCATTCCTGGGCTGGAAAGAGCCTGGAGTGCCCCCGTGGGAGGCAGAGCACAACTGGCTAACTCTCGTGCGTGTCCCCTCCTTGCTCTCCTGTGGTATCCATGGGCGAGGCTTGCAATGAGCAGCGTGCACAGCTGTACACAGAGCAAAACCCTACCGAAACAAACCCCTCTGTGGCACGCCCTGTTCTCCTGGGGAGAGAAGCAGAGAGAACAATGGATATTAGTCCCATTGCTTAGTGCATGACTGGAAGGGGGTGGGGTGAAAGAACCTGCATGGAATTGATTGAGCAATAACCTTCCCTGCCCCTAAAGGGCACTGGTGCTTGCTGGGGCAGTGCCTTCCTGGATTGACGGTGCAGGAGGGCTTCAGTAAAGCTGCCTGTTTTTCATATGGGAGCCTTCCCTATTGGTTAGCGCAGGAGCCTGGCTGACAAGGCGTCTTGCGTTCTATTCCTGGCTCCAGAAGGGGGTGTGGTCTAGTAGTTAGAGCTGGGGACTGGGTACTAGGAGACTTGGGTACTATTCCCAGCTCTGCCACTGATTCATTGTATGACCTTAAGCAAGACACTGCACTGCCCTGTGCCTCAGTTTCCTCCATCAGATAACCTTTGTAAAGCACTGTGAGAGCTAGGAGAGAGGAAAGATGGGCCAGTGGGTTCAGGCCCTAGCCTGGGACTCAGGAAACTGCAGTTGAATTCCCTGCTCTGCCCCAGAGTCCCATTGTGACCAGGGGTGAGTCATTTAGCCTCTCTGTGCTACAATGGGGATATTGGCACGGCCCTGCTGCACAGAGGATGTGAGGATAAATACACGGAGGAATGGGGAGGCCCTGACAGTGATGGGGACCAGGTGTTATAATTTATTATTGCGATGGCACATGGGAGCCCCGCTCACAGACCAGGGCCCCATGGTGCTAGGACAAACCCAAAAGAGAGAAGGACCTTGTCTAGCTAACTAGCCAGATCTAGGGTTAAAAAAGTGCTATAGTTCTCAATCGTTCCAGACTACTGTACCTCTTTCAGGAGTCTGATTTGTCTTGTGTATCCCCACGTTCCGCCTCACTTAAAAACGACTTGCTTACAAAATCAGACCTAAAAATACAAAAGCGTCACAGCTCGCTATTATGGACAATTTGCTGACTTTCTCCTTATAACCATATAATTATAAAATAAATCAGCTGGAATATAAGTTTTGTACTTACATTTCAGTGTATAGTATATAGAGCCGTATAAACAAGTCTGTATGAAATTTTAATTTGTACTGACTTGGCTAGTGCTTTTTATGTAGCCTGTTGTAAAACTTGGCAAATATCTAGATGAGAGGATGTACCCCCTGGAAGACCTCTGCGTACCCTCAGGGATACACGTACCCCTGGTTGAACCCTTGCTATAGAGGGTTATTACTCTCGTAAGCTGATGAGCGAAGACTTCCCCGACTGGGGAGAGGGAGATCAGTCAAGAAGGAAATTGGGATTCGGCTTCCTGCACTAGGAAGGCACCAATTCTGTGTCGCCTCTGGCCCAACAGGTCCCTGGCCTAGGTGTCATCGCTGCGTAAATATGGCTAACGTGTCCCCCCTGGGGACGATGCTGCCCGCAGCAGGCTGGTCCTGAGATCAGTGCAGTCCACGATGCCCATGAATGGGGTGGAGGAGGCAGCCTCAGCTGCTGCTGAGGTGGGGGAATCAGTTGCCACCCTCTCTAGAGGAAGAAGCTGGCTGGATAGTTGCTTCCTACTCTGATCCTGCTGCCAGGTTGGAGGGGGAGAGAAAAGGGGGGGTCCCATTGTCCCTAGCGATGACCCCCCCTGCACCCACCCACATGCGCACACAGCTGCTTTCTCTGTCAGGACATTGGGCTATCCTTAGCATCCACGCTCTGTGTATCAGCTGCTGACATGTTGTCTGAACCCAGCTGAGCCTGATGGGACTGGGACCCAAAAGCTATCTAACAAGCTCTAAGAATAGGAGGACTTGTGGCACCTTAGAGACTAACAAATTTATTTGAGCATAAGCTTTCGTGGGCTACAGCTCACTTCATCAGACGCATGCAGTGGAAAATACAGTAGGACGATTTTATATACACAGAGAACATGAAACAAGCTCTGCCCGCTAGAAGCGGCTTGGGCCTGGTCTGAGTGACAGCAGTGGGAGGGGAGGGGAAATGTCCTGGTCCTGCCCCCTGCCCTGTGCATCGTCTATGCTGGCCCACCACCTGGTCGAGATGTATTTAGAGACAGCAGTCAGATCTCCTCTCAGCCTGTGCTTTGCCAGGCTCAACAAGTCAAGCTCTTGTAGTGTCCTCTTGTAAGACTGGTTTTCCGTTCCCTGGAGCAGTGGTTCTCAACCAGGGGTACACGTACCCCTTAGGGTACGCAGAGGTCTTCCGGGGGTACATCAACTCATCTAGATATTTGCCTAGTTTTACAACAGGCTACATAAAAAACACTAGTGACGTCAGTACAAGCTAAAATTTCATGCAGACAATGACTTGTTTATACTGCTCTCTATACTATACACTGAAATGTAAGTACAATATTTATATTCCAGTTGATTTATTTTATGATTATATGGGAAAAATGGGAAAGAGAGCAATTTGTCAGTACTAGTGAGCTGTGACGTTTTTGTGTTTTTATGTCTGATTTTGTAAGCAAGTTGTTTCTAAGTGAGGTGGAACTTGCGGGTACGCAAGACAAATCAGACTCCTGAAAGGGGTACAGTAGTCTGGAAGGGTTGAGAGCCACCGTCCTGGAGCATCCTAGTAACACTTCTCTGTGGCTGCTCCAGTGTGAATTCACTCCTGAGTCCCGCCTGGTTTTACTACTAGACCACACTCCTTGCTTTGATCCGAGTATCTTGCCAGCCTTCTGCTTGAACTAGGGGCTTGTCTGCTCTTAAAATGCTGCAGCGGCACAGCTGTGGGACCGGGTGTGGATTTTTCACATCCCTGAGTGATGTAGTTATACTGACCTAATTTCCTAGTGTAGACACAGCCTAATAGACCACTGCTAGTGCTTGGAAGAGAATGCAGGACTCCTGACTCCCTGAAGCTGCCAGATCTGGGCAGTAGAATCCGGGAGTCTTGACTCTCACTAGCCACTGGACAATGTCCCTCACTTTAGGGGGTTACTGTGTATGCTGAGTGGCTGCCTCACCCCAGCACCCACAAGGTCCTTTGATGCCATGACCTGGCCTGGCACAGATCTGGTTTGGGATGGGAGGTGTCTCTAAGAGCTTGTCTACACAAGGGGAAATTGTTGCAGAGTAAGCCTGGCTGTGAATTTAAAGCACAGTAGCTCTCCAGGTGGACGCTCTCATTCCAGCAGGAGGGTGCCTTTTTCTGGCATAGCTTAATCCACTTCCAATGAGAAGTGGGCTGCTTCGTATTCCAAATGAGCATGCCCACATGAGGTTAAAGCAGGTTAAATTCACACCTTTTGTTAATTCGGATAAACTTTCCTGGGTGTCTCCCTGTAGGAAAGGCCTTATTCTGGAACAAGAATGTCCACCTGGGGGGCTATTCTGGTCAACTACCCCATGTAAATAAGCTCTAACTCCTTGTGTGAGCACTCTTATTCTGGAGGCAGGATTGCCTAGTGGATAGAATACTGCACTGGGCTTCAGGAGATCTGGCTTTGCCACCACCCTGCTGGGTGACCCTGAGCAAGTAATTTCCCTGCCCTCTGTCTCAGTTTCCCCACCTGTAAAATGGAGACCATGATACTGACCTCCTTTGTAAAGTGCTTTGAGATCTACTGATGAAGAGTGCCCCAGAAGAGCTAGGGATTGCTGTTTATTATTTTTATTCTGGAACAAGAGTGGCACTTCGCAGTTCAGTTTAAACCCCGTCCAAAGCAGCAAAAACTAAACTGCAAAAGGTGCTCAAATTCCAGAATACTCATACGGGGATTATACCACTATCATTAGAGCTGTTTAAATTCACATCTGAACGCAGGGGGTTGGACTAGATGACCTCCTGAGGTCCCTTCCAATCCTGATATTCTATGATTCTAAGTACATCTTGCTATAACTTTTCCCTTGTGGACAAGCCCTTATTTTAAACATTGCCTGTTCTTCCAGGAGCCTCTGCTCCTTTAAATAATCAAAGCAGGGGGCTGGCCCTATTTTGCCTAGCCGCTCCCACTCCCCCATCTCCTACTTCCCAAGGATATTTGAGCCGAGATCCGTGGGAGTGACTCAGACTGTCAGTACCAGAGAGGCAGACGCAGACGTGGGGAAGGCAGCTCCAGAGATCTGAGTCACCGACCCGTGTTCCCGTCTCTCTGCCAGGCTGTGAACCGCGATGGACACCCCATCTCAGAAGAGGGCCACACGGAGTGGGGCGAGTGGCACCCCGCTTTCTCCAACCCGCATCACCCGCCTGCAGGAGAAGGAGGATCTGCAGGAGCTCAACGACCGGCTGGCCGTCTACATTGACCGGGTGCGCTCGCTGGAGTCGGAAAACGCAGGTCTCCGGCTGCGCATCACCGAGTCCGAGGAGGTGGTGAGTCGCGAGGTGTCGGGCATCAAGTCGGCCTACGAATCGGAGCTGGCGGATGCCCGCAAGACCTTGGATTCCGTGGCCAAGGAGAGGGCTCGACTGCAGCTGGAGCTGAGCAAAGTGCGGGAGGAGTTCAAGGAGCTGAAGGCACGGTAAGTGCCAGGGCAGTGCCCATGCTAAGCAGCGGGGCAGCTGGTAGTGGAAGAATTTCCCTTTTCCCCCCTTACCAAGAATGGGGCAGTCCCTAGAAGCTGGAGTGGGAGCAACCAGAGTTGGCAGCCTTGGGAAAGAGGCCACAAATATCCTGAGGCTGCGGGCCAAGCGAATAGCATGTTTGTAATGTGTTTGGCAAACAGTGAGGGACTGGAGGGGGAAAAAAAACAATCCGGAGGAGGATGGGAAAAATCTCTAACCTGGCTGGGATGTTACTGTGGAAGCGGGGGGGTGGGGATGGGGATGGGGATGATTCTTGGCTCCCCCCACCCCACCCCCAGCAATAAATTGCTGCATGATGGTCAGTGTGTAAATTCAGCCCTGGGTGTTCAGGGGCCGGCGCCGTCCTTGGAGGGGAATTGTCTCGGCAGCTGTCCGCTGGTGTGGAGAGATCCTGATGAAAGTGCCTTTAATAACGTGACGTAGAATTAGCAAGGGATCTGATCCGAACTCCCAGGCTTCAGAGGGAGTGGAGAGGGTTCGGTATCCGAATCTGAATCTAAACTCTGCGTCTGGCCTCCGTTTCTCTAATAGGCTGGACGCGGTGCCCTAGATCCAGTTGGCTCTGAATTTCCATCTTGGGGCCTATCTCTATCTTAGATTCTCTCTCTGAGGCTGCTGAATAAGCCAAGCAGTAATTGATCTAGCTGGCCCAGGTGTAGCTGGCCCTGGCTCTCCAGCTTGGAGATCTTGCTTGCCTGGCATATTCCCCCACTCCACCTTTAACAGATTTTTAAATGACTGGCTTGTGCTGAGCTGTCCCTGTTACCTGACCGGGGGTTTTCTGTGCGTTACCATGCGAGATGCCATGCGGGAGGGTCTTTGGGAATGGGCTGGAGCGCAGATCCATGGCTCTGCTGAGCCTCTTTCTATTGCCCTGTGTCTCTTTCGAAACTAGCCTGAGCCTGCATAGACAAATGGGATTCAAGGGCTTGGATTTGGGGTTAACTCTTGGTGTGTCAAACTCACCTTCTTATTGCGGCGCTCTGGGGTGTGATGGGAGCCCCCCTGGTTCTGTCTGACTGGTAGCTTCAAAGTCTGTTCCTCCCCTCCCTATATTGTACTTTCCTTTCCCCTGCTGCTGCCAAACTTGCCTAAACCCCCCTTTCCCCACCCATGCACCTCCCTGCTATACTAGACTTGGCATGGGGAGCTCAATAGCACCAGGTGGCATTCTGCCCATTCCGACGAGCTGGTTCCCTCCCAAGCTTTGGACCTTGGCACCCAACCAGCAAGGGTTGCCTGGGGACTTGGGTTTCCCGTTCTGTCTCTCCTCAGCCCATGCTGCAGAAGCACTTGTCCCCAGTGGACGGTGGTGAAGGTCAGAGGGATCCAAAGGAGGTTGGGAGTGGCTCCTATATCTGGAAAGCTTCAGAGCCCTGCTGTTTCACTCAGTGGTCCTGATTCAAAAGTCGTGGACTCCCATTGACGTCATGGAGTTTGGATCAGAACATGACCCCCTTTAGGGTCTTCAGCTCTGGCGTATTCTGGTCTCTGCTGAGACCAGATCCTTGCTGGGCAGCAGGGGACACTCCCATAGGGCTAAGTCTGCTGTCTCCATCACGCTCCCACCCACAATCCGTTCCAGGGAGCGTAAGCGGGATTCGAATCCAGGTTTGCATGACAGCAAATAAAGCACGTCTCCCATTCCTGCATTATATCTGAAGCGTCTTACCTCCCTGGCTTTGCTATAACGGAGTTTGTTTTCTAAAAAAGAAAAGGAGTACTTGTGGCACCTTAGAGACTAACCAATTTATTTGAGCATGAGCTTTCGTGAGCTACAGCTCACTTCATCAGATGTTTACCGTGGAAACTGCAGCAGACTTTATATACACACAGAAATCATGAAACAGGTATTGTTTCATGATTTCTGTGTGTATATAAAGTCTGCTGCAGTTTCCACGGTAAACATCTGATGAAGTGAGCTGTAGCTCACGAAAGCTCATGCTCAAATAAATTGGTTAGTCTCTAAGGTGCCACAAGTACTCCTTTTCTTTTTGCGAATACAGACTAACACGGCTGTTCCTCTGAAACCTGTTTTCTAAAAGACCCCCAAAAGGGGCAGCCTGCCATGAATAATCAACCCACTCAGAAAGCGGGAGGAACATTTTACAGATGTCTTTAAAAACTGCCCAGGATTTTATATTTAGCTTCCTGTGTCTCTCCCCAACCATGGATCCGTCTCTAGATAACTCTGTGGTCATCTCTGTGCTAGAACTGTAGCTAGTTCTGAATTTAGATCCTAGAGACTCGTTGCTATTTGGAGATGGATTTTGAATGCAGGTTTCCGTGTGCTGAATGTCTGTGTCTGTTTTCCCCTGGCTGTGGGCATGCCGGGATGGGGGAGGATTTTGACGATAATGGGGAGGAAGAGATTTTGCTCCTACAACAGGAGCCGTGTTTTCTAAAGGTTTTGCAGCCTTAAACGTTAAAACCATCCCCTCGATCTTTTTCTTAAGCCATCCATTACAATAATGCCCAGCCTGCAGCCAGCTCCTGCTGCTGTGTGGCTGTTACACAGCTGCCCTGCTCCACTCCAGAGATGGCTGCATTGCAGTGATCCCTGTATATAATCTGTACGTTCTGTTGGTCACTGGAATGGAATGTGCATTCTTGAAAACTGGATGGTGCTGCTGCCATTCTCTGACACAACAGACCCCCTTGGAAAAAACTCCCTTCCCCGAGGGGTTTCCCAAATGATCACTCTCCTGTTCTGAACCTCGTTATCAAAAGCGACTGTTGGTGACTCAGGCCATTTATCTTGAAAGCCCCCGCTCCTATCTTTCTTTGTGCTTGGAGAACAGGCAGTGACAGTGGTTACCAAGAGACACCAAAGTGTTGTGATGTCTCAAACAGAGACCTGTGAATCAGCAGCGAGAGTAAAGAACAGGGTTTATTTCCCCGGATGTCAATATTGAATTATTCATTTACTACTTAGAGTTACTGTACCGGTTACTGTCAACATGATGAATTCTGGGAAGAGCTTGATAATGAATGTAGGGGTGGGTGAGCATGGAGGAGTTGTGTTGGGTTTCAGGAAACTTTCTGATCTGAAAAGTCCTCGTAATGAGCGGGATTTATTGCGTTCTGCTCTGATTGCTTCCTCGGGGCTGTGAAGTTACTCAGAGGGAGGCACAAGTTAAATGAATCAAAACAACTCCGCTTTGGGGAGGCGTTCCAGTAGAAATAGCATTTCGTGCCTCTGTAGCGTGACTCCTCTGAGGTTCTCAAAGCACTTTAATACACCGCCTGCAAGAGAGGTAGTTACTAGACTCACTTTACACATGGAGGGAAGCTGAGGCACAGAGCTAAAGTGACTGGTTCGAGGCCCTTCACTAAGCTGGGAATGGAGTGCAGGGGTCCTGGCTCTCATCACCCAGCTCTAACCACAGACAATATCCAGCGTCTCCTTTGTGTGGGAGAGATCTGGGTTGGAAAGAGCTCTGCTCTGATCCATGCTAAAAGCGGGAGGTGTAGGCTGTTTGTTCTGAGCAGCCTTTCGCGCCGATTTCTGGGATAAAGATATTTGGGTCCGGTGTTCAGGGAGGCCTCCGTGAATTTACCTTCGTTTCTCTTCCTGGGGCTACTGGCTTGGAGAATAGCTGGCCTTCGTGGCGGCCCCATAGAGTTGACTGAATCCCCTACTACAGGCTAGGAAGGGAATTCCATAGGATAATCTTTTGTGGCAAAAGCTCTGGATTGGGCAGTCAGGGCTCCTGGTCCCAGCTGGGGCACTGTGACCTACAGAACAAGTCCTGTCCCCTCTCTGTTGCTCAGTTTCCCCCTTTGTAAAAGGAGCCGGGGACAATAACACTTACCCAGGTCCCAGAGGGGGCTGTGAGGCTGGACTCATTGGGCAGGACAAGGAAGTCAGGCCTCCTGCAGTCACTATTCCCATTGCTAAAGGGGTGCAACATGCTACCAGCTGAGAACAGGTTCTGAGCTTGCTTTGAGCTGGGGTAAGTGGCTTCACAAGGGGGACGGAGGTTGGAGCCCATTGTCTGAAATACTCTGAGCTGCCCTGGTGGAAGATTCTCTAGGAGCATGACTAATCCAGTCCTCGCGCGCATTCAGTCTTGTATCTAGAGCTGAGGCAGAAACATTTCCTTGGTATCTTCCCCCACCAGGCTCCCAGACCTCCTGTGTGAGCGTTATCTGGGCCGAGCAGCCACTGTTCCATTAGAAGGGCTGGTGCCTACAGCATGGGAGAGATGACGAGAACAAGCCAAGTGTCTAAAGGCTGGTGGTTGTCAGCACCCAGCGTCTCACGCTCATGAGCTCTGCTTTGGGTGTCTCATACCCCAGGCTGGTCAAGCCACTAGTGTGGCTGAATTCACCTGGCAGGGCGTGTCAGGAGAATCATAGAATCATAGAATATCAGGGTTGGAAGGGACCCCTGAAGGTCATCTAGTCCAACCCCCTGCTCGAAGCAGGACCAATTCCCAGTTAAATTATCCCAGCCAGGGCTTTGTCAAGCCTGACCTTAAAAACCTCTAAGGAAGGAGATTCTACCACCTCCCTAGGTAACGCATTCCAGTGTTTCACCACCCTCTTAGTGAAAAAGTTTTTCCTAATATCCAATCTAAACCTCCCCCACTGCAACTTGAGACTATTACTCCTTGTCCTGTCCTCTTCTACCACTGAGAATAATCTAGAACCATCCTCTCTGGAACCACCTCTCAGGCAGTTGAAAGCAGCTATCAAATCCCCCCTCATTCTTCTCTTCTGCAGGCTAAACAATCCCAGCTCCCTCAGCCTCTCCTCATAAGTCATGTGTTCTAGACCCCTAATCATTTTTGTTGCCCTTTGCTGGACTCTCTCCAATTTATCCACATCCTTCTTGAAGTGTGGGGCCCAAAACTGGACACAGTACTCCAGATGAGGCCTCACCAATGTCGAATAGAGGGGAACGATCACGTCCCTCGATCTGCTCGCTATGCCCCTACTTATACATCCCAAAATGCCATTGGCCTTCTTGGCAACAAGGGCACACTGCTGACTCATATCCAGCTTCTCGTCCACTGTCACCCCTAGGTCCTTTTCCGCAGAACTGCTGCCAAGCCATTCAGTCCCTAGTCTGTAGTGGTGCATTGGATTCTTCCGTCCTAAGTGCAGGACCCTGCACTTATCCTTATTGAACCTCATCAGATTTCTTTTGGCCCAATCCTCCAATTTGTCTAGGTCCTTCTGTATCCTATCCCTCCCCTCCAGCGTATCTACCACTCCTCCTAGTTTAGTATCATCCGCAAATTTGCTGAGAGTGCAATCCACACCATCCTCCAGATCATTTATGAAGATATTGAACAAAACCGGCCCCAGGACCGACCCCTGGGGCACACCACTTGACACCGGCTGCCAACTAGACATGGAGCCATTGATCACTACCCGTTGAGCCCGACAATCTAGCCAGCTTTCTACCCACCTTATAGTGCATTCATCCAGCCCGTACTTCCTTAACTTGCTGACAAGAATACTGTGGGAGACCGTGTCAAAAGCTTTGCTAAAGTCAAGAAACAATACATCCACTGCTTTCCCTTCATCCACAGAACCAGTAATCTCATCATAAAAGGCGATGGAAGCGATGGTGCTACTCATAGCTCTGTTGTCAGCAAACGCAGGCTTGGTGATGATCTGGTGCTGGGGACGTTGACTCGCTTAACAGAGATGCTCTCCCCTTGCCGTAGATACAGCCCTGCTTCCTTCCAGGGCTGGAGTCTCTAGTTCTTGCTGGTGAAATTAACACTGGAGAAAGCCCAATGTTAATTTCACTGTGCGTTGACTCAGGCCAGGAGCTGAATGCTAAGTTAGTGCTGCTTTCTAGCTCCTTTCCTCAAGGGTCTTGGCTGGTGGTTTGGCAACTGTTCACCGAGCCTCCCGACAACTTTGTGCAGTAGGAGATACATTATTGAACCCATTTTAGCAATGGGGAAACTGAGGTAGAATAAGGCTCAGTGACTTGCCCAAACTCACTGATTCTGTCTGGAACAGGACTCATCAGTTCTGACTCCCCCATTCATCCCCCTGCCCCTTGCTCTGATCATTAGATCACACTCCCCTCCCAGAGGTGGGGGTCTGGACCCAGGAGTCCTTGAAGTCCTCTGCTCTAAATGGTAGGCCATACTCTCTCCTGAAGGCATTCCAGTCCATTGAATCTGCCCGGTGCAGGCAGTGAGAGTATAAGACCAGGTCTACACTAAAAAGTTAAGTTGACCCAGCTGCATCAATAAGGGGTATGAAAAAGCCACACCCCCCGATCAACAAAGTTACGGTGACATTACTCCCAGTGTAGACAGTACTGGGTCCAAGGAAGAATTCTAGCTACCACGTCTCGGGAAGGTGAATTAACAACAGTGTCGGGAGAACCCCTCCCGTTGCTGGAGAAAGTGTCTACACAGTGGTGCTGCCGTAGTTGTTTAAATGTAGACAGAGCCCACGTCTCGGTGCCCCTGCCACAGCCCTGCGTGGACAGGTACGGGGGGCGGTGTCTCCCTGGCCTGTTTTGCCCTGGGGCACTCGCTCTAGTGTTAGCAGTTTCCATGCTCCAATCCCCGTGCCCTGCCGTAGAGGGTGTGGCTTATCGCTGGGCTTCCAACAACATCTGGGCAGGGGGTGGCACATAGAGTGACCAGATATCCAGATTTTATAGGGACAGTCCCGATTTTTGGGTCTTTTTCTTATATAGGCTCCTATTACCGCCCCCCCCTCCATCCCGATTTTTCACATTTGCTGTCTGGTCACCCTAGCTGGCACGTGCCAGAGAGATCTCGTTGCAGGGTTGGGCTCTCCCAGTGCGATTGATGGTGGGAGACGGGCCGCAGTTGGCACTTGAGGGAGCTCCGAGCTGCCCTTGCTGAAGGCAGGCACACAATAGGCGCCTTCTTAAGGACCAGGGCTGGGCCCGCTGCATGGAGGTGAAAGGTGACGAAACAATAGACCACAGTGCAGCAAGGGCTGGGTTATGATTAACTACCTTGCTCAGGGCTCAGGGAGGCACAGCAATCATGCATCCCGGGCAGCTTTTTGCCATTGCCTAACTCTTCCCACTCTCCTGGCAGTGCCCAGGTAGCTCTGTCAGCCAGAGCCCTCGTACAGACTGGGTAGGGGCATCTTGTTCCGGCTCTGAGCAGGGCTGGGTGGCGTGATGGTGAGAATGCCAGGGCCCAGTGGGTGCTAGCAGTCCAAGTGGCAGGGACTGCACCTGTGCTGGAAGAATGGAGGCAGCTGGAGAGAGCATTGCAGAAACATCCCATAGATTATGGCCTGGCACAAGGCAGATGGACACACGCTTGGCCTGCACCAGTTCAGGACACCAGCCAGAGCCCTGTCCTGTGCTGGTCTCTGGCAGGAGCTGCCTGCTGGACCGTTGCTCCTGTGCTGGGCAGAGCTGGCTCTGGGGTGGGGCCAGCCGCACGTGTCCCTAACAGCCAGGCTTGCCTGCCTGCCCCAGCAGCCTGCTGTTTTCCAACGGGCCAGTTGTGCTCCAGGGCATTCCCTGGCAGCTTGTGATTGGGTGGTGGAGTGGTAGTCTCCAGGTGGTTTGGATTTAAAGTGTGAGATCACGTCAGGCAAGAGGGCTTGGCAGTGCTGGGGCGGCCCATGTCTGACTCACAGCTGCAGGCAGCAGCCAACGCCCTTCCCCTCCTGCATCACACGGCCTGGGATTCATGGGCCTCCCCTATCAGGCCCAGCCAGGCTGGAAGGATTGCAGCCAAAACATGCACCCGCCCGGTACCCCTTAGATCTGGGCCCCCTTCATGCCACCCGCTGTGCCACGTCACACCCGTGGTCCTGCGCTGTGGTCCCTGCCCCCACGGTGGCGATTTTCCCCAGCCCCGGCCTGTCCGTGCCTCTGAAGGACAGCTATGTCTGCACTGGTGCATCCTGGGAAAGCCTGGGTCATGCTCCTGGCCTGCCTTAGCTGCTGGAGGAGAGGATTGTCAGATGACATGAGATACCCTAGGCTGCTCTCCCGCGTGGAGCAGCACGAGCTGGCGTGGGAACAGGCAGTCACCCAGACGAGGGGAGGTGGGGGGTTTCCCTTCGAAAGCTCAGAAGGGCGGCAGCACTGGGACTCATGAAATGCAAACCAACCGAGCTCCTCCAGAAGGTGAATGACAGCTGCCTGGGACAGGTCAAGGGGAGAATAGGTTTGTCAAGCCCTGCCACGGCTCATCCTGTCCTCTCCATGGTTCTCTGCTTGGGGTGAAGGCTTCTTCAACAAGGGCTGCCCAACCCAGCCTCTCTGTCCTTCATCTCCCGCTCTCACAGCTTGGTGCAGCCGAGGCGCCATATATCTTCCAGGCGGTGGTATCCAAAGTCTGCACAAGCCATTGCTCGGGGACGGGGGACACCTGCATGCGGGAGAGGGGCTGGGATGGAGCCCTGCCTCAGGTTTACTTTGCAGAGGTGGCTTTGCTATAAAAGCAGCGCCCGCTCTCCTGCTGCTCCCGATCTCGTTCTCACTGCCCTGCACCCCCAAGCTGTACAGGAAGCTCAGTGGTCGGTTTCGGTGTGGCTCTGTTCCTTCTTAATTGGATCCTGCTGCTGCCCTCCTGGGTCTAAAACCACATTTGGCCTGATCCTTTCAGCACCATGGTTCTGCCAGCAGCAGATTCCAGCTGGGTGGCCTAGAGCCTCCGTGAGGAGCTAGCCACTCATGCCATGCACCCTTAGTTGCTTCGTGTTAGGCGGTGATGGTCTGGCGGTCTCTGGGGCCCCCACGGGAATGGATCTGGACACCAGGCTCTACAGGGCTCTTTACTCTGGTGAGTGAGGAGCTGCATCGCCAGAGTAAAGGTTGATACCCTCACTCTTGTTCAGGTCCATTAGCCCTTTGTGGGTACCTGACCCACTCTTATCCCACTGCTGAAGAAATCGAGGGCCTTGCCCCACAGCAAAGGGAACTGGATTCTTCATGGACCTCCCCGCTGCTGCAGTGCATGGGGAGGTGCAGTGTGTTTTGGGCTCCTCAAAGTGCAGTTTCCACGGTATACATCTGATGAAGTGAGCTGTAGCTCACGAAAGCTCATGCTCAAATAAATTGGTTAGTCTCTAAGGTGCCACAAGTACTCCTTTTCTTTTTGCGAATACAGACTAACACGGCTGTTCCTCTGAAACCTGTCAAAGTCTCTAGACGCTAAACTGTTCATCCCAGCTCATGCTTCATGTGTGGCCTAATAGTTAGCTAGTTCCATTCTGGCCATGGCTGGCGGTTTTGCTAAGAGCCTGATCGAAGACAAGGAAAGATAGAGGGTTGTTTTTTTTCACCATTCCTTCTCCGAAACAGGAACCAGACCTTGCTCATTATAAGATTGTCTAAGCGATTGCTTCCTGAATTCCAGCCCCTAACCTGATTAAGCTGGTAGCTCAGTATTGACTTTCGCTCTTTCCCCAGCCCAGTTCTTCTCCTGTTTCTTAATGAAGAAGAGTCTCTCTGCCTTTGAAATCTGTGTGGACATGGAGTAACCAAGCAGCTGCGCCTGGCTGTGGGCAATGGGTAGTTAGTTAACATCCAGCACTGATTTCCCCCTCCCCACCAGACCTGAGCCGCAGCACTTTGTTAGTTGCAGGTGGGTCTTTGCCTGCTCTGGGATTTAATGGGAGACACCTGTCCTACCCACTGGGAACTCCACTGAGACTCCACCAAACTCATTCCTCACAGAGGGTCCCCCAACATCCATCAGATGGAAATGGTGGTTGATCCCTACTAAACTCCACTGGACTCAAGCAGGCAAGCTAGAGATGCCAGGCTCAGCAGCACATGGCTGGTCGTGCCAGCCAGTTCCTTAAAACTTCCACTTCTTGTTGTATAAAGAGAATTACATGGCTTCTGTGTTTGTTTAATCTGAGGGCT